AGGCACTTATGATTTTGATGCTTATATCATGGAACTTGTCACATTCATTTGTTAGTTCTAGTAGTCCTTCCCCTTAAAGTTCCTTAGGATTTTCTGTATACAAGATTATATTGCCAATAATTAAAGAGTATTTTACTAAATGTTTCAGTTCTTATGTTTTGCTACTTTTTATTTTCCTACTGTATTAGAGAGGACTTCTACAATTTGATAATTGGAAATGATTAATGTAGACATCTCTGCCTATTTCCCCATCTTAAAGGAAAGGTGTTTTACTTAAACCATTAAATGAGATGTAACTCTAGTTTTTTTATGGATGCTGCATTAGTTTTTTAGGTCTGCCTAGAATAAATTTTCAAAAACTGGGTGGCTTAAACCAACAAACCAACAAGAATTGATCATCTCAAAGGCTGAAGCTCAGAAGCTTGAAATGTCAACACTATCATTGTCTGTCTGAGGATTCTAGGAGAGGATAATTCCTTGCCTCTTCATAGCTCCTGTGATTATTGCCAACCCTTGATCTTCCTTGAAATGCAGCTGCATCACTCCAATCTCTGCTTCTTCCTTCACAGGATCCTGTTCTCTGTGTTTTTCACATGATCATCTTACAAAGACATTCAATATTGGTTGAGGGTCCATTCTAACCTATTATGATCTAACAATTACATATGCAATGCCCTATTTTAAAATAAGGTCACATCACATTAATGAGGTATAAGAACTTCAGCATATCTTGCCCAAACAAGGGTATTGTACTGGGTTGGGAAAGTCCCTTTCTATCTCTAGTTTGCAGAGATTTTATATTTGTGATGATTGCGCTTGACTGTGCAGCTTGGCTGGCTTGAGACCCTCCCAGTGGATCGGTCAGGCACACTTGTGGGTATGTGTGGGTGTGTCATGGAGAAGCATGAACTTGTTACCAACAGCGCTTCTAAGCTTTTACTCTCCTGTACAATGAATTGGTTGCAACAATTGGAGAATGTGACAGTTTAATATTTATTTTAGGGCAAAAGGAAGTGCTGAAGGAGAAAAGGGTGCTCTAAAAGAAAAAGAACAGGTAGATTCTGAATGCAGGATGGTCCATGGCAAGAGCAAGAGGGCGGTGTTGGCGAAGTCAATGGCCGTCAACTTTTATACCTTCTTTCTGACATGAGAGTCAGGCCGCTCCATCAAAACCTAGCACGATCTCATGCCAGAAGACGGTTATCAGGCGCAGGGCCCAGTGCTGCTGGCTGTCTCTGCAATTGATAGGTCACATCCCATTGCCCCAGCCACCTTGCCCTGCCCTCGAAGTCTGCTGCCCCCACTGTGAGTATTACATCTGCTCCCGATCCCTCCTGTCTGGCAGTGTCCCCAGCTTTGCCTCGCAGCCTCCATGAACTTCTCCGCTTTGCTCCGTCACGTCCTTTCTTCACGTTTCTACCTGAAACCAGCTGACTAGGGAATGAATTTCTTTAAAACATTAGCCAAATTAAACTTCTCCTCTTTTAAATTGTAGGTGGCAGGTACTGTGTCCAGCACCAGAGAAGTGAACGAATACAATAATACTATAAAGAAGTATTGAGATTTGTCAAATGTTTTATCTGAATCTATTGAAGTGATCACATAAATTTCCTGTTATTGTAATGTACTAAAATAATTCACTAAGATTTTACAAGAAGGTGCGTTATTTCTTTATAAAATGAATAACTACTCAGCCATAAAGAATGCGAAACTAAAGAGATTTATAGCTAAGTGGATGCATATTGAGGCCACACTCTTAAGTAAAATTAATGTCATGCATGTGTAAACACTGAATAGTTTCCCTGGCGTGCAAAAGTAAAAGTGTAAATAAGGATCAAAATGTATAATTGATATTGTGTAATAGGAAGGAAAGTCTAAAAGAGTAGAGGAAGTAGGAGGGGTAGGGGAAAGGTAAAAAGGGAAAAGAAAAAAAAATGTGGAAAGGAAAAACATGGAAACAAAGTCTGCAAATAGGGAAGGTGGAGGGGGTGAAGAGAGGGCTGGGGAATGGGGAAAAATGAGAACCAAGATACATCATGTAAAGGTACAAGATCTCAATGATGAATGTAAGTTTATTGTATACCTAAAATGAGTGTGCCAATAAATTTAATAAAGATAAAAAATTCACGAAATATTGTGATTAAAATTTTCACACTTTAGCAGAGTTGAAATAATTTTGCAGTGAACATCAGTGCACTGTGTTTACATTCCACTATTAATATTCTACTATATTTGCTTTTCTTCCTGTACCTCTCACTACCTAACCTTTTCCCTTTATACCATTATACCATCCTTTCTAATGCATTTTAAAGTTAACTGCAAGCACCATTATGCTCTTTAATAAGTACTACATCAGACATTTTATTCCTAAATTTCAATCTTATTGAAATCTTACTTAATCTTTTTTCCTTTGGTAGGGTGAAGTTGAATATACAAAATCAATTTCAAAGAAATTGTGAAAGTGAAAAAGTAAATAAATTAGGTGGCAGAAGTCATTGAAAAATTGTGACATCGGATTAACAAACCATCTCTTTAATAGGACACAACAAGTTTTACTTTTAATGAAAAAATATTGTAATTATTTAATAAAAATGGCTCTAAGCGTTGAATTATACTATTCAAGAAATAGTTTAGCACTGGTGGGACATAATATGTGCAACATCCTTCTGCTCAATAAGAGGCTTGCCTTACAGAATATCAAAATTCCTAGCAGCCAGTAAACAAAAGATAATGCACAGGATAGAAATGTGTTTGAACAGACCTTCCACAAAATAGAATATCCAGCGATGAATAATAGTATCAAAACATGTCCAATATCATTTATAATAAAGCCACCGAGGTAAATTTCTAATGTTCTCCAGTATGACAATAATTAAAGATAATGAGTTCATTAAATGCTGGTAAAGATGCGGCACAATGAGAGCTCTCTTATACTGCTAATCAGAGTATGCATCGTTATAAACACTTGGAAAAACTATTTGGCATTATTTGATAACATTGAACATATGCATACTCTGTGACAAAGATGTTTTACTCTGCAGTGTATATCCGACAGAAATATGTGCAAATGCGCTTCAAAAATTATATACAGTTTTTCATATGGGTAAATTATACTGATAAATGCATTTGTTCCCAACTTGAAAAACCCATATGTTCACCAATAGTTGGGTAAATAAATCGCACATTTTCATACAACAGGATGCTAACGTCAATGAAAGTGACATAATTAAAGTGGTAGGAAGCACCACAGATGAAAACCAACACAGGTTGGTGAAAGGAGACTTTCATAAAAGAAGTCATACAGTGTAAGTCCTTTCATAAAAATTTCAAAAACAGGCAGAGGTAAGCAATGCTGTTTGAGAAGTAGGAAGGGCAGAAATTGGGAGCAAGTATAAGAGGTGTGACTGATAATGTCATAGTTTTTAATGTGGTGGTGATTACATTGTTCACATGATAATAATTGTGGGGCTGTTTCCAGATGACTAATGCTAGCTATTTTATTCTTTAAACAAGATATTTTGATATGTATCACTCACTATATAATTCCCTTATTCCTTCCATTTATCACCCTTAAGCTTCAGAACTTTCCACAGTGGGAGTCTTCTTTTTTAATAGTTTCCCCTTTGTATCTTATATTCATCTGCACTGGACAATCTCTTTTTCTTGAAATCCTTCAGAATCTTTTCACTTACCTGGTTTTGCTCATTTTTTCCTCTAGCATCAGATACTCTCTAGACTGTCTGCAACTACTTTGAAAATTTTATCTCAAATGCCATTTCTATTTCAAACTTTCTTTTAAAAAAAATATTAGTACATATTTGCAGTCCATAAGGATTACAGTCATCATGAGCAGTGGGTACGTATACACAACACATCTTAATTCTTTTTGCGTCCTTGCCCCTTCTCCCTCTCCCTTACACTCTATCCATCTTTTGGTTCAACTTCCCTTTTACAAGAGATCTGTCTCCCTGTTTCCTGTTATCTAGCTTGTACTTTGCTCTTTAATTTACTTATACTGTAAATTTCTCATATAAGAGCAACTATTCAATATTTTATTCTTCTATTTCAGCTGCTGTTTTCTTTCTCTGAAATTGCATGCCATTATAAATATTTTATTTTTAATGATACTAATTGCAGTATCTACCGTATTCTAGTGTCTAATTAAACCCAATTAAGGGAGGAAGAATGGAAAACTAATATATGAAATGTTAAAAACGTATCACCTTGTGATTTAAACTGATTTTCAATGGAAATATATTGTGGAAAATTTTAACCACACAACAAAATAGAAAATTAGCATAATAAATCTGTGTGTAGGATCATCCAGCCTCAACAATGAACATAATTTTTTTCAGTTCAGCTTTGATCCCTTTATTAACTGAATGATCATGAGAAAATAAGATGAAACTTGAGCTATTGTTCATAAGGTAGATACAAAATATTAAAAAAAAACAGTTTAAATTTGGATGTGGGCATGGTAATAGCATCTCTTTAGTTGCATACATGAGTTTTTCACTTGAAGTGTTTCTAACTTTACTGTTCCTGTGTTAGTAGCTTGCTCATAAAATTTATAGTCTTTCCTTATACCCGAAATCCTGAATAGTTCACTATGGTTTCAAATGAGGCAGGTGACTATCTCAGGGTGTTTTAGTTTTCATATGCCTTCTCCCTGCCTTGCCCTTCCTTTATATTTTCTTTCCTCCCTTCCTTTTGACATGTTATTTTGTGGGGTATATTTTTAATGCACTCAATTTTGAGAAACAGAACTTTTAGCAAATGTACAAAATGTTAGAGGTAATGGGACTTCAGAACAGTAAAATGAGTTTCCCACTCCCATCCTTTCAAAGTGTGTGTGTGTGTGTGTGTGTGTGTGTGTGTCTGTGTGTGTGTTTATCAGCAAACACCAAGTATGCATTACAGAAGTGGAAGAAATCCATCTGTTGTTATGATTCTAAGAGACTCACTTAAAATGTCTATAAAAGGTGGTTTTGCTTTTGTAGCATATTGAAGACTCCTTCCAGTGAAGACGGGCAAGTTAAGTCTGTATTACTGAGCACTGAGGAGTATAGAACATATCAGAATGGAAAGAGAATATTGCATCTTTGTGGCCTTTCTTCAGAATTTCTCCAATGTAAGATATATACATGTAAGTACATAAATACATTTATAGATTTATGTATTTTGGAAGTAAGGCTTAAATTTACATAATTAGGAAGTAAGGTTTGATTAAGAGACACATAAGTTTTGATAAATTAAAGATGTAAAATCTTAGTTTTTCTGAGAATAAAAAGAAAATTAAATCTCCTAAAATTAAAAAGAAAAGCAAATACATGTCAGTGAACTTTTATTATGCCCATTACCAAAGAATATACAAAAAGTATTCATTTTTCTTACTGCAGGAGTTTTTCTTTTAAGATGACAGCAGTCGCAGCTCACACAAACACAAACTATGTAAGAAACAGGTTAACAGCGAGTTATATAATAGGCTTTTGGGGTCATGAATAAGTTTAATTTTAAGTGATTAATTTCTTTTGGTATATTAGAGTTCATCTTCTAGAATTTTGTGACATAAGTGTGAAGGGAACAAAGGGATGGATAAATAGTTAATACTGTATTTTCCATTAGTCTGTACAATACCCAGAAGGGTGGTCTGTGAAAGTGTTAAATTACGATGATCCCAGGTTGGTGCGGATGCTGGGTCAGCGCAGGAATATATACAAGTAATTGTGGTTTTCACTAGTATTCCTTATATGCTTCATTTTTTAATATTCAATCCACAGAGAGAAGACGGTCTTTGCAAGGCTTGAGCACAACACATTTCTTTTTCGTTTTAAATTATTTCCAGTTCCTGCTGAGCCTTGCTGAGGCACTTGACATTTTGTGCTACCTAGCCAGTGACTCAGTCACACGTTTTGTTTTCTACACACTGGTTCAGTGCCTCTTGCCATGCTTGCTAACATTATTCTGGCTTGCACCTACATTGAGTGATTAATGTCTGCCTCCTTCCATCTTCAGTAAAAGTATTTGCCAAATCACTTTAACAACCAAAATGCAGATCATAAAGAAGGAGCACAAATATTAAGGCAATTTTTGTTCCAAGGTAGTGAAAGTTATTAATGTTATATTGTTCCTAGGCAAAAGCAACATAGAGAGGCAACTGGAGGTGAAATCTAGATGTTGCTCAGTAGATATGTTTTATTAAAAAGCATCTCTGAAAATATTAGATATAATCATTTTGTATTTAGCACATCTTAGTTTCAGCTTACTCTTTACAGTGTCTTTTTCAGTGTTTATTTACAGAGGTTGCATGCTAATTAAGTGAAAATGGATTCTTTGCAGTCTTTAGTGAAAAATAAAAATAAAAATATCATTTTGAATGGCAGGAAGATTGTGATTCCAACTTGGACTGTACAGTGAGTTTGAGGCCAGCTTGAACCACACAAGAAGACCATGCCTCAAAAAAACCAAAACAAAAAATGACATGAAATCCTTATATTTTAATATTACTTTAAAAGGAATATACAAAGGTTAAAACTAGACCCATATCTTTCACCATGCATTAAACTAAAATCCAAGTGCATTAAAGATCTAAATATTAAAACAGAAACACTAAATTTGCTGGAGGATGTTAGGTAGAACTCTTGAAAACATTGGCATAGGAAAAGACTTTATGAACAGATCCTCAGTAGCATGAGAACTACCACAAAGAATGAACAATTGGGATCTCATCGTTTTTTTTTTCAGCTTTAATTGAGTTTATTGGTACATTTTAGGGATACAGTACAGTTACATTCATTGTTGGGATTTTGTACCTCTACATGACAAGTCTTGATTCTCATTTTTCCCCTTGTCCCTGCCCTCCCTTCACCCCCTCCTCCCCTCCCCATCTACAAATACTTTATTTTCATCTTTTCATTCTCTCACATTTTTTTCTCTCATTGTTTTAAAAAGCTTCTGTACTGCAAGAGAAACTACCAACAGAGCTAAGAGACAACCTACAATGTGGGAAAAAATTTTTTTACCAGCTGTTTCTCAGACAAAGGTCTACTATCTAGAGTATATAAAGAACTCAAAAAAAATCAGAACCTCCAAATATAAAGACCCAATTCAATATTTGGCATCTGAAATGAATAGATACTTTTCAGAAAAACAAGTAAAAGCAGCAAATAAATATATGAAAAAATGTTCAGCATCATTGGTCATTTGAGAGATGCAGATGAAAACAACACCGAGACTTCACCTCACCCCACAAAGAATGACTGCTATCAAGAAACAGACCAATAACAAATGTTGGTGGGGTTGTGGGGAGATGGGAATGCTTCTGCTTCTTAATTGTTGGTGGGAGTCCAGACTGGTGCAACCACTATGGAAGTTAATATGGAGCTACCTCAAACATCTAGGATTATAAGTCCCTTTTGACCAAGCTATTCCCTACTAGGTATCTCCCCAACAGAATTAAAAGAATCATACCACAGTGATGTATGCTCACCCATGTTCATAGTGGCACACTTTGTAATAGCTAAACTTGGAAACAGCCCAATTGCCCATCAACTGGAGACTGGATAAAGAAGATGTGGTCTTTCTATGAAATGGAGTACTATTCAGCCATAAAGAATGAGAAACTAGAGAGATTTATAGCTAAGTGGATGCCTATTGAGGTAATACTCAAGTGAAATTAATAAGACACACATGTAAATACTGAATAGTTTCTCTGTTGTGAAAAACTAAAAGTATAAATAAGGATCAAAATGCATAATTAATATTGTGTAATAGGAAAAAAAGTTATAAAAGAGTAGAGGAGATGGGAGGGGTAGGGGAAAGGTAAAAAGGGAAAAATATGAGAAAAAGTAAAACATGGAAACAAAGTCTTTGTAAACAGGGAAGGGTGGAGGCAGTGAAGAGAGGGCTGGGGAATGGGGAAAAATGAGAACCAACCTAAATCATTTAAAGATATAAAATCCCAATGGTGAATATAACTATATTGTGTACCTAAAATGTACCAATAAACTTTAAAAAATAGGTCTACACATGCTTTAACTATAGATTTATATTAAATATAGAGTTTCTCCTTAATCTTTTATGTGAACGTAGGTTTTTACACATACTCTTTAGGTAAAACTGCCGTTTAATGAATTTGGAGTTTTTAAAATCAGAAATTCACTATTATTTTGATTTCTAGCTTTCTTTGTCGAAGAAAGTAAGATTACTGTGTTTGTCTTGATCGCCAGGCTCATTCTCATCAATACTCCCATCTCTTTGCCAACATTACCAAGATTTTTAAATGCAGAATGGTAGCAGCAGTTTACTAGGTGATCTCACCATTTAATCACTATAACCCAATTTCTGCTTTATTTTATGGCTGTATTGAGTGCAATCCATAGAGCTGATGTATTTCATATTCATTTTATTATAATAATCCCTATTACTTAGTACGTACATGCTACATCTCCTTTCAAGCATTCATAACGTTTTAAGCCAACATTACCATCAGAAAGTCCATAAATAAGTAATAATGTAATATTTTTGTAAGATTATAGAGAACATTTTAAGGGCTTATTTCTTTTCATATATAATAACAACATGCTGTCACTTATAAAATGAGAAAATTTGATCATCTATCACATCTTTTTGAAAAGAAATACTCAAAAAATTTAGAACTTCAAATATCTCTTGAGTTGCGTTAATTGGACCACTGAGTATCCATCCATCCAGGAAACAAACAAACAAACATGTCAGAGATGGTTTCCCATTGGATAGATTCTGTGTGATGATCTTGAGGGGGAAGGACCATAATATATAACTTTTTAAGACCTCAGATCTGAGGATATAGTAAAAGTTCAACAGAATCGAATGAATAAACAGTAGGCCGTATTATGTTCATACTGGTAATTTAATGAACTGATACACAATACATCATCAGCCATCACTTTTAATAATTTTCAAGAGTGCAGAATAACAACATCCTGATTCTTTCATTCTTCCCTCCTCCTCTATTTTTATCAGACTAATTTATTCTCAAGCAATGTAAGTTAACGTAATATTATAAACTAGTATTAATAGCTATTCCAAAGTGCAGTTAGCTAAAGGACTATTTGACAAGACTATAATTAAGAGGACAGATTGAGTTAATATTTTTGGCACCCCTTACCTTTCTAAACAAAGGAAATGCAAGTTTCAGCTGAAAGAAATTCCAGGGATCTCAAAACTGAAGGTCGAAGTGATGCACATTGTATTCCAATTTATGCACAGACAACCTGTAGTACAAAAGGTGAAACGATTTATGAAGTTGAACAATTTACAGAATGCCCAGATTATCTCTAATACAGAGGTTCAAAAATAAAAATTAAGCCATTTACAATGTAATATATTTAACCCAGAAGTATCCCAGCCTGTCTGTGTGAATGATGATTTAAAAAATGGGGGATTGAAATGGATGGAAAATTATTCAATGTTAAAGGTACATGCAATTCAGAATGAAGTTATGTTTCCAAAGAGATTACTAAACTAGCTGGTGCTCTTCAGCTGGCTTTCATCACTAGTTATCATTTCTTCACTCTACATAATTAGTTCATATCATTTTCATCATTTTGGCTTATGCTGTTAGGCACAGAAAAAAATCTATTCATTATAACAAATATCCTGAGTTTATTATACAATTAAACAACTATCCTCCTATTGCAGAAATGCTTTGAAAATTCTGCTTCTGTTTCCCCTTGAAGTAAAAAATGAATCAGAAGTTTAGGCCAGAGAGGAACCCATTCAAAGTTTTATACTAAATTCATTCACTTATATTTTATAATTCATTGAGTAATAACTATGGTATCAGCTATCAATGGATTAATTTTGCTATCAGGTTTTATTTGCGAAACGTGTAAATGAAGAGAAGAGTAAATATAGAGAATATTATTATTCTAAAGAAAATAAAGGTTAATCAAAGTGCTATTTGTAGACAAAAGACACTTTATGTATTTCCAGATGTTGCACATTACCTTCCTCTTTTGGTAGCTAATAAGTATTAGGGTACTAAATCTTCATACCTCTCTTGATATCTGTATTACAATATTAAAAAAAACTTCCCAAGTTTATCTGGCCACATAATGCTTTCTTCTTGCTACACACTTATTAATATATCTAAGACTTTGTGTT